TCCACGCTATCCTGTGCACTCCTCTGCTTGGGAAGGAGCCACCCAGGGAGCCATCTGACACGGAGGGCTCTCTGTGCCTGGGGTGCTGATGTGGAGGTGCTCCTGCCATCCCCTGTGCTGGGGTGGGAAGTGCTGCCCTGGGCCTTTGGGCTGGCATGGGGGAGCTTTGTCCAGTGCTCTGTGTGGGGAGGGAATTGCTGCCCTGTGTCTGAGTGCTTTGGAGCATGGTCCTGCCATGGTGGGTGAGGAGCATCAGGGACCAGAGGGACACTGCTCCATCCTCTGTGTTCTCACACAGCTGCTTTGTGTCCTGGTGCCTGTGGGACAGGGGAGCAACCCCCTGTATTGCTGTTTGTGCTCTGAGTGTGCTGCCTCAACCTGTGTGGGGGCACCTCGGGTAGGGCTGAGGGATGGGGCCACCCTGCTCCACTGCAGCTCCCTGTGGGGACACGCTGGCCTGGGGTGACCTGCCGCACCCCAGGGAGAAGCACAGCGTCCATGGGAAAGGAGGTGGGAAGTGCTGCTCCCCTGGCTCCGTGTTGGGGTCCCCATGGGGGTGTCTCTGGTCTGAGTGATGATGTGGGGTGTAGCCAGAGCCCTTTACAGAGCAGGACTGAGCTCTGCCCTATCCTGTGCTGAAGCTAAGGGGTTTTTAGCCCTCTGATATACCCCTTCTGTTCATAGCTGTGCTTCCCACCATTCGGAGCAGAGAAAGGGGCCTTGGCACAAGCTGTGAGGGCAACACTCCAGGACACCACTGTTCCCCTCTCCAACATCCCACAGGTGTCAGCGACAGACCCACCATCCCACTGGGTACCTTGTCCCAGGGCCCCCGTGGGCAGCAGAGCTCTGGCCCTCCCTTGCACCTTGGTGGGCTCTTCCTCACCCTCCTCCTGTCCCTTTGGGCTGGCTCCTGGCAGGGCACACAGGATGTCTCCGTCCCCTTGTTTCTTGCCAGAGGACATGCTTCCTTCCAAGCTGGTGTGCTGGAGGGGGGGTGCTGGCTGCCTGCCCAGCACAGCAGCCTGGGGAGGGATGACTCCCTGGGACTGGTCACCTGGCTGTGGTCCCTACCAGAGCCGGCTCAGCTCAGCTGCCAGTGGGGTCTGGGTGCTGCATGGCCCCGCCATTCCGGCTGCTCTGCCGTGCCCTCCCTAATTCTGCTCCCATTTGGAGCCCTCGTTGCTGGGCGGCGTTGGAGGGGGGTCGTGGGGTTAACACCCATTAGCAGAGCCGGCTCCCACCGAACTCTGCTCAGCGACTCTTCATGGAGCTCAGTCTTTAAAACATCATCAAAAAATCATCAAGAGAGAGAGGCAGCGCGTTCATTTCCACTGCCCACTAATTCTAATGGAGCTGGTGTAATGGGCTCCCACCAGCACGCCGGGGGGCAGCTGGGGGGACGGGCTCTGCTGTCTGGCCCCAGGATAGCCCCTCACCCCAAGGCAGATAGGAAGGCCTCCCGTAGGAGTGGCTTCCTCTGGGACCTGAGCCCTGTTGAGTTGGAACTCTAAGGCTCCTCTGGGCTCTGGGAAGGAGCCTGTGCCCACACGTGGGGCAGGAAAGGGAGTTCTGCCAGCTCTGCTTCAGCAGAGGTAGTCCAGACCCTTCTGCCCATGTCATCTGTTTCATGCTGTGCTTTTATCCAGCCAGAAATGCCCCTGCCACATTGAAACCTGTACCTCTCCCCAGAAAAAGATGAGACTGCCCTGTACTTCCCCTAAAGCAATGACTTGAGTCTGATTCAACTTGTATGGATCCCTTGGGGAGCTCAGGAACTGGTCCCAGACTGTCCCAGAAGCTGGATCTGCACAGTGTTCAAAGCTGCTCTGAGTCCTTGATTCCCTTCTCTGCTGAACCCCACGTGTGAATCCAGGGGTGTGATCCCACAGTGCCCTGCCCTTCTGCCATAGCCACGCTGTGCTCGGGCCTCCAAAGAGATGCCATCCTGTGTTACTGCAGGGAAGAGATGTGGGGAGTTTGCCTTGGTGTGCTTTAGCTGTGGTCCTTTGTTAGCTCTTCCTGGGCTCCGAGAGCAACAGGCCCTTTGTTCAGCATGAAGCTGGAATCCAGGAGGCACAAAGGAGGAAAGGAGCAGAGTCCCCCAGCTTGTGGAGCCTGTGCAGGGGCTTTGGTCAGACTGGGACTGCTGCCAGGGCTGGAACCAGGCAGCCCCAGGGCCCCAGGATGTCACTAAGCTGTGACAGTGCAAAGGTCCATCCCAGGGGGGTTGGAGCCCCAGAAATTTCCATGTCCCAGCAGGAGGGACTTGCCTGCCCCCTGTAAATGTCCTGAGCAGAGGGTTGGGAGCCCCCCAGCCCAGCACAAGGCCTGGGGGAGGCAGGGTGGACATTTGCTTCCACTGGGAAGCTTACAGGCACAGGAAGGCTGGGGCTGAGATTCCTACCTGCATGTTTGGTAGGGAGGTACTGGGCAAACAAGAGACAGGAACAAGGAGGATGGAGCCTTGTGAGCCCATGGCAGGAGTCCTTGCTGTGTCCCAGGGACCATGACCTGCTTCCTGCTGTTCAGTGACAGCAGAAGCGGCTCGGCGGCAGGGAGGGCTTGAGGTGCATCCAGTGCTTCCCAGGTCCAGGCAGCTGGCTTGGGCTCTGCAGCACAGTGACGGCAGCCACGGGAGACTGAGACCAAGGAAGGGAGAGATTTGAGAACAGGGCCCGTTCTGATGTGTCAGGGTGCCCCAGGAGTGTTCTCTGCAAACGCTCCCTCCAGCACATGGGCAATCTCAGGGAGCTGCTGCTCTCTCCTGGCTGGTAGTGCTTGGCCCAGGGCAACCACTGACCCTGCTGTGGGGGGCTGGTCCTGGCTCCCCTGCAACCCGGGGGCTCCCTGCCTGTGCCCGGGTCTGGCAGCAGTCACAGAGGCTGGTGCCAGTGAGCCAAGGAGGCAGTGCCTGTTAGCCTGGCTGTTGTCTGGTTATTTCTTCTCCCAGTATTCACAAGTCACCAGCTGTATATTTGCCAAGAATCTTGTTCTTGAGCTGGGATTTGGTGTCCTTGAAGCCTCCACAGCAAACACCCTTAGGGGAGGAGGCACATGGCCTGAAGCGAGCCTCCCAGAGCGGAGACTGTGGGGTCTCTCCTGTGGTTGAGAGCTGGAGGAAAGGGCAAAGTGCTGGACAAGTGGGATGTCCCCATTAGGCTGGAGCATCACAAGAGAGGGGAGAGTCCAGCAGGGCGACTGTCTGCCCCCTACCCTCAGTCTGCCAGCCTCCTGAGGGCCCAGAGTCTCAATCCAGCAGGAGAGGCAGGTGCAGACATCTTTCCCCAGAGGAAGATTCCCAGGCTGATTTAGGGTGAAATGAACGAAACAACCTCCTCTTCCTATCTGGGAAGGGCAAACCAGGAGAGTCCCACATGCTGGAGTCATTCCATCCTCCTCAGGCTCATCTGGTGTGGAAACCCAGCCTTGCATTCCTACACCGGTGCACGAGCCCTGTTGGTCTCCAAGCTGGGGACTGCTGCTGGGATCCATGCAGGACATGTCATGGAGCTCTCAGCACTGGCAAAGGGCAGCACCATTCCAGCCTGATGTCACTCACACTTTTAACCGTGGAATGCAGGATCCCAAGGCACTCTGCACCACGGCACAGGCACAGGAGGGCAGTTTACCCTCAGGTTGGTGTGGGATGAACACCTCTGCACGATGGGGAGAGATGAAGTTGGGTGCTGTGCCTGGTACTTGTCAATGCAGGTGGTGCCTGTGAGGAAGGGCTGTGCTCTCTCACCACTCCCACTGGAGCTGGCCTTCCTAAGGAGACTTCCCAAGGCTGCACCATGTTCTGGGGGTATTTGTGGGCACAGATTGGCTTAGGTGGGGCCAGATGGCCCAACAACAGCCGAGGGTGGCCATGCCCTTGGTGGGACCCAGCCAGAGGCCTCTGCAGCCGTTCACAGCCCTGATGGGGGCTGTGGCACCTCCTCAGTCCCTGTCCTCCTGCTGCTTCCCTCCACTGTGAGGGGCTTCTTCACCACAGAGAAGTCAGGCAGAAGAGAGGACCCCCTCCAGACCCCTCCAGACTCCCCTGCTCGCCTCTCCATGTCAGCCCCAGTAGGCACAGACCCTGCCAGGCTTGAGGCCAGTGCGGCTCTGCCTCGCTGAGGACCGAGGGCCCCTCGGCCTCTGTGCTGTCTCTGGAGCTGAGCAGTTGACTCTCTGCTTTTAATAGAGAGCTGGGAAGGCACATTATGGAGATGAGGGTGTTATTTGCATAACGCTAATTAGGTAATTACAAATCATTTTGCTATGAGCTGAAGCGTGTGCTGTGACATAACGTTTATTAGTCATTCCATTCAGGCCCCGCTTAGTTAAGTCATTTACTGCACTAACTACTGAAGTTGGCAATAAAAGGTAAATGCTGGCTCTGGGTGCGAGGCTGAGGATGGCACCCCATGAACTGTGCCCGTGGGGGGCTGCAGGGCAGAGCCCGGGCTGGCAGGCGTTGGGGGGTAGAACGCATTTTAAGCCTTGGCGAAGGGCTCCCTCTGAACCCTCGGCACAGCACGGGACCTCCCTGCATTGCTTCACTCGCTGTGCGGGGCCTGTCCCTCCAAAGCCACTCGTGGGCAGGCACCGAGTGCTGGAGCTGGGGCAGTTTTGAGGCACCAGCTCTCGGAGGAGCTGACTTCACTACTCCAGAGACTGGCAGTTTTCTCCGAGGGTGGGACACAGGGCAGAGAGAGTGGGTGCAAGCAGCTTCCAGGGGTCTGGAAGCCTCCTAGGTTTCCCAGACCAGATGGCGGGGGAAAGAGGCCGCAGAAGGGCGAGCCAAGGCCAGTGGAGCTGTGTGGGCAGAGGGAGGGAGGGCTGGCACAGAGCTCTGGTTCCTCCCTGCTGTCACTTGCCTGTCCCAGCCCCCTGGGCTCCACTGCTGCCAGTGACCCTGCCCATGTGCAGGCACAGTGATGGCCCGTGGGGACTGTCCGATGGCAGACCCCCTCCTTCCCAGCCCCATGTCATGGCACACCTTTCTCTTCCAGAACCAGATGAGCCATTTGAGTTCATTATCGTGTCGCTGACGGGCCAGACGTGGCTCTTTGAGGCCTCAACATCGGAGGAGCGGGAGCTCTGGGTGCAGGCCATTGAGAGCCAGATCCTGGCCAGCCTGCAGGGCTGCGAGAGCAGTAAGAACAAGGTAAGAGGCCTTGGCCAAGGTCTGCTCTGTTCTCTCCTCTCTGGCTTCTGCCACATCCCTCCATGTCCCATGTTAGCCTGTCTGTCCAGGCTGGATCCTATCCAGATCCCTCTGCTCCCCATCAGTTGAATCCCATCACTGGAATTCCCCCCAGGTTTTCTGTCACCTCTTCCCAGCCTGGCTCCGGCCCCACAGAGCATTCTGCATCCCACCAGGATGTGCAGATGTGCTGTTCACTCCCTCCCTGGACAGCTCTGCCCTTTCTCCCTGCTGTGGTGCATGTCCCCTGCTCCTCCGGCACGCAGCTGGCCATGATCCGTGGTCCCTCCAGACCCAGTTGTCTGTGTTCCTGTGCTGGACAACCCTCTGGGTTTCCCTGGACTGTGGTGCTGGCGGGCTTGGGGGGTGCAGGACGTGTGGCCTGCAGCGAAGGGGGTCTCGTGGGGTCTGTTCCAGGCTCGGCTGGGCAGCCAGGGCGACGCGCAGGCCATGCAGGCCGTCCGCACCGCGCGCGGGAACAGCTTCTGCGTGGACTGCGACGCTCCGAGTAAGAGACACTGCACTGAGGGAGGGGCCCGCCCAGGATGGGAGGGGGCTCCAGCCACCCCAGCCACCCCCTCTCTCAGCCCAGAGAGACCTGCTCTGTGGGACTGTCCTGTCCTCTCCTGCCGTGGACCTGCCCCTCAGGGGTGGGGTACAGACCCGCCTGCCACACTGGCCGGTGACCCCTCACTGGCCAGCCTGGGGCCCTGGACTCTCTGGCCCTACCTCTCCCAGGGGCGCTGGGCTGGGAAGAGTTCTGGTGGGCAGCTGCCTGCAAATATGGGTCTTCTGAAGCACAGGAGACGAGCTGGTGAGTCTGTGCAGGTATTAACTCTCCCCCACTGATCCTGCTGCCCTCAGATCCCGACTGGGCCAGTCTGAACCTGGGTGCCCTCATGTGCATCGAGTGCTCCGGGATCCATCGCAACCTGGGCACCCACCTGTCCCGCGTGCGCTCCCTGGACCTGGACGACTGGCCTAGCGAGCTTCTCATGGTCATGACAGCCATCGGCAATGCCCTGGCCAACGCTGTCTGGGAGGGAATGGTGGAGGGGTACCCCAAGCCCACTCCTGAGAGCAGTAGGTAAGGGAGGTGGGGAACCCCAGGGATGCTTCTTGGGCACCACACCAGAAGGATGGGGGCACCACGGGGATTTGGGAGCAGCCATCAAAACAGGATTCCTCAAGGTGCTCCAGTGTTGGGGGTCTTGCCTGCCCTCGAGGTACTGGCCATCCTCTCCCACCTTCCTGGTGGGTCAGCGAGGCTCCATGGTGGCCACGGCCGTGTGGTGCCTGAGGGAGCCGAGGCTGGCTGCAAAGCCGAAGGGGTTAACAGAGATGGCTTGGCAGCATCGTGTGGGTCTCTAGGGTCTGTCCCTTTCAGGCCCTTGTCTGTCCCTATCGGAGCCACTCTGCTGTCACTCATCCCAACAAGAGCCCATTCTGCAGCTTATCAGCGCCGTGGCGCGGGTCAGGGGCCGGCGGCAGTGAGCATGCTCGGCGCGGGGCATTGATGGCTGCCCGCCAGATGCAGATGGATAGAATGGCAGCAGATAGCGGC